GGGGAAATGCAGTTACAATTCCAACCCGGGGTTTTAAGAGCCTCTCCCGTGTGCCTGGTTCCAACGCACTGCCTTTGCCCCTACCTGACTGTGTGGACCCCAAGGATGTGTCATTTACTGACCTGAACACGCAGCCCTCCTGCCTCGCTGTGACCTACGCGGTTATGAGAAATGTGGCGACAGGCAGAGCAAGTGTACCTCGCTGGGCAGCACCGCAGCGGGCGTGAGAACCTAAGCCTGATGCCACTGTCTTGGCCTGACACGTGTATTTTCCCAACGCCGCCAAGACAGGAGGCAAGGGGCCAGGACCAGCATGGGAGCAGGGGCGCCAGACAGGCCACACTGGAAGGAAGTTGCTGCCCACTCAGGGACTACCTTCACGCAGTGACACTCTGCGTTCCCCCTTCTCTGGGCGCCCCGAGGTCTGGGCTGGCAGCGAGGCTGGAACAGATCCAGACCACTGAGCAACCACAGGACGAAAAGAAGGAACACTCACCCATGCACTCTCCACAGAAGCAAGTGTGCCACTTTCAAAAGAACTGGAAGGAAAAGGCTAGAGACGTAATAGATGGCAGGGCTCAACCTCATCACCTCATCAAAACGTGCAAACTCATGCTTTCTTTCCACCCCGAGATACGTGGAGAGCCCAGGGGTGGCGGGGGATTATCCCAAATAAAACATGAGTCTCCTTTTAAAAGGACAGCAGCTCTCACCTGATCCGCAGAGGAAGGCATCATACGCTGCTTCATGAGGGTACTTGGTCTCAACTGAGACATTGTTCCAGAATCAGGAGAGAGAGGCAAGCAGCGATTAGAACGTGGACTGGGAAAGGAGGCTCGCCTCCACGCTCATGTCACACTCCTACGGGCTGTGCACACACCACCATCCCCGCCCGGGTTCCATCCCCAGTGGGCCGTGCGCACACAACCACCAGCCCTCGCTCCTCCAGAAAGCCCCTCCCACCCACACCCCCTCTTCACCCCCGTCCTCCCCATGGCGGCATGAGCACCCACGGAAGGAGGACGCAGAGAGCCACGTTTCCCAACAGACTGACCACCACGGCCGCCCCCGGGACCTCTGATACCTCTGGAGTCACTCCCTCCGAGGGAGGGGACTGCTGGGAGCTTGGCTCAGGAAAACGGTGGCAGGAAACCCACATGGCCTCCCACACACCTGCCACCTGGGGGGCGGGCCTTAGCTCGCGGGCCTTAGCTCGCGCACCTCAGTGCTTTGCCAACTGCGGAGGAGCACGGCTCATGGGCACGTACCGTATTTTTCACACTTGCTTGCGTGAATAATCACTGGCCCAGAATTCTTGGTGGGATTCAAGTCACTATTAGAGACATGGAATAGAGACATTCATTGAAAACAATCCCCCTTGTTTTCCCCTCATGCTCTTAGGTTCATATCAACAAAAATGTCCTCAGTTCTGGGACATCTTTTAAAAAAAAAAAAAACAGCAGCAGCAGCAGCAGCAGGGATGTAGGCCTGGGCAGATAAGGTCTGGTAACCAGGCAACAGGACAAGTGAAAGAGCAGCGGGCACGAGGCTTGTCTGGGTGGCTCTGAGCATCTATCAGACGCTTAACGCGAGCCTGGGCACCAGGGTGAACGATGATGCCAACTGTGCCCTCAGGCCTGGCTGTCCAGTGCTCTGAAGGACAGCGATGAGAGCACCTGCGTCCTAGAAACAGCGCCAAGGGCATGACGGTGCGCTCCGAAGGTCAGGGACTCACCTAGGTATTGGCATCATTCATTCATGCAAAATGTTTAATGTGCACCTACTATGCCTTGCACTGCTGGAGGCCCCAGAGAAACATCAAAAGAAAAAAAAAGAGAAACAAAAAACAACCCTGTTCCCATGGAGCTCATCATTCCAATAATCGGAAACAGATAAAAGAAAAAACCCTGGCTGACAGACAGAAAATACATCATGAAACAGCAGTGGGTATTTTACCAGGTTCCCTCCCCTTTGGAACAGGGTTTCTCAACCTCAGCACCAGAAGCATTTTGGGCTCGAGAATTCTGTGTTGGACCGGGGGTGGGTGGGTGGGGGTCCTGTGCATCCTGGTCTCTACTTACTAGATGCCAGTAGCACCCTCAGTTCTAACAACCAGCAAGTCTCAGCATTGCAAATGTGTCCTGGGAGCAAAGCCGCCCGACAGGGAGCCCCTGCTCTCCAAGCAGCTGCCAACCATAGCGTCCTTACCTGTTTAGGACTTCATAGACTTCGGAAAGATTTGACACCCTTGGGAAATTCAGCTCCTGTAATTATGGAAAACAAATTAGGCAGAACAAAAGGTTTGTGCTTTTGTTTATTATCTGCTTTAGGAATTATCAAATGGCCATTAAAATGACCTGGAAAATGCCAACTCCCACAGCCTTTTCTCTCTCTTCAAACATGCCCATCCTTATTCCTCACTTACGATGCCAGGGTACCTAGTGTCCTTGGATCGGGTCCCTGTAAGGGACGCAATAACCCAGGCCGGAAACAGCTGCCACGAACAGTTCACACCATCTTCCTTCAAAGACAAGTGTTTAAGGAGTTCTAGAAACACAGGACTCCAAGGCGCCAGACCCAGGCCAAGGACATGTGTGTAGGTCAGCAGGCATTCTAAAGACCAGAGGGCCTTGGAAAATGCCAGGTCACCACGTCCGACAGTGCATTTCATCTTGTGTGGAAAGGAGCGCCATTGGTTTGCTCAGATCAGCCCCCACACGCTCCCCGCTTCGCCCAGGACTCGGTGACATGGAGACGAGCAGCGTCACAGGACCGGCCAGAGCTCAAAATGTGTGAAGGACACAAGGCGCGAGTCTGGGCCAGAGGGACCAAGCAGCCCCGTCGAATTTTTGCGGCTCCCTTACTGAACAATTAACTTTAAGGCTTTAAAACGTGGATCCAATTCCCCTTTCTCTGTTCCTCAGTTTAACTTCTAAACAGCCTTTAACCAGCTGGCGTGTCCCTTTTCCACGTGTGGTGCACAACAGAAGTCACCCGAGAGGGTCAGCAATACCGCCCGCCGCCCCTCCAAACCAGAGGGGCCACCAGGAGGGCCCAGGTGTCAGCACTTAGCTTCCCAGGTGATTCTAATAGGCTGTCAAGGTTGCAAACCCAGGACCTTAAATTAAGGCGCAGATATTTTCTCAAGAGGGGACCCCCCCACCCCCACAGTCTTTAAGCATGTTGTAAATATTTACCAGGCGTGTTATCAAGCTCTAGAACAAGTTCTGTTGTCCCAGCTAAATAAGCACATGAACTATACACAAGTCAGTCAAAGCATGGGCACTTGAAAGAGGAAAAGACAAAATTGATATATAAGCTGATAAGACCCAGCCGTGCTGAGACAGAAAAGGAAACCGATACCAGTTATAACATATGAGAAAAGAGTACAAGGAACACTTTGTTTTTTAAGAGAGAGAAAGCTAAGTGTTATTGGGACAAAGCATTCCTTACACAATGCAATTTCATTTGGTACCTTCCAGATATCCTTTGTCACATTCTTGGTATCGATGAGGACAGGAAACAGGTTGTGGATATTCAGCTTAAATTGATTGTAGCTTTCTGAAGAGAAAGGCCCAGTTAGTGAGAAGTGAGTTTGTGGATAAACATAGGAAGGCGAGTTTTCCCACCTAGCTTGTCACCAGCCAGTTAATAAATAAAGCAAACAAAATAGGAACTGAAAACATCATTACTCCTAATCATTAAGGATTTCTAAATCCAACCTGCCACCCTCATTTGTGATAGTAAAAGCCAAATGGTTTTCCATTAAATTCAGGGCACCGTTATTGCCAACATTAGTTCATGTAGTTTGCAAAGTTCTAGCCAATGGAAAAAGGAGAAAAGGGTGTTATTGGAAAGGCAGATACGAATTCATCAATTGTAAATGACTGCTCAGAGAAAAATCAGCTAAAAGTCATTATAATGAGAGCCAAGTGCCCCGATAAAAAAGAAAATCTTTAACTACTAATTGGTATATTTATCAAAATTATACCTGCATGTCGTTTAAAGAGGTTTACTGCAGAAACAAACCGCACAACCCCTGCTACCCTCCTCTCACTACCCTCCCTTTTACTCCTCCCCAAAGGCAACTGCTTTCACTTCTGTTCTTTGGGTGTTTATCCCCACTTTTCTAAACAACACATGTATGCAGACGGGTGATTTTCCCAGTTTTCGGCATTTAACTACTGGCTTCCCACTGTGTGAAATGACAGCTACCTTTCACTCCACAGCCAGCACCCCGTCACTGCACCACAGGCACGTTATTCACAGGGGCCACCCGGCGTTCTCCAGCGACTTGTCCTTTCTTGCACAGCTTTTGTTCTCCCAGCACTTTTTCTGCTTTGCAGTTTGGTTCGCTTAGTGTTTTAGTGAGTGCTTATAATTATTTTTACCTCTAACTCTCCCCCAATTCTCTCAAGATGCTCAAACTGAGGTGTTTTATCATTCCTTGGGGGAAATCTCCTAGAACCTTCCCACCCCTTTGAATCTAGACCAGTGTTCTCTGGACATTAGTTCATTTCATCCCACCCAACTCTATGGTATTGGCACCATTACTACCCCCACTTCAGAGGCAAGGAAACTGAATGGGTCTGTAACGTAACTTGCTGGACAGCACACACGTAACGGGGATGAGGACTGAAGCATAGCTCCTAACTGCTAACCACACTGCTGTATGCCCAACAGTGGCATGTCACGGAAAGCTATGCTACAGCCGTAACACAAGGCCACACAGCCATTAAAAGCACATGTATTAGGTTAATGACACAAGTAAATCTTTTCGGTAAGTTAAAAAAAAAAAAAAGCCATACAGAAAATCGAATACACAGTGTCATCAACTATAATATGTAAAAACTCACAACAGAGGAAAAGCCAAGTGTCGGGATTATTGCTGACAGTACAGGCGGCCTGTCTCCTTCACACATTTCTGATTTTGCCAAGTTTTATACAATGAGACTAAACAACTTCTGTAATGGGGGAGGAGGAGCAATTTAAGCGTAAGTTTTCTCCCTGAGAAAGTCCCCCCGTGGTCTTCCACTTGGGGAAAATGGTAAACGGCACAGATCTGCCGGACCTCCCAGAAACCGACGGACCCTGGAGAGGGTGGAGTGTGCACGTAGGGGCTACTTGAGGAGCGTGACTCTGGGCCAGTCCCCTTGCCAGATGGCAAACTGGGATCAAAGGAAGGAGCCTGACGGGTCTGCCCCTACCTGGGAGAGGTCTGAAGAACTTCTCATGGAGATGCAGCAGGTCCATCATCATATTATGTCCCACTAAGGGCTACTTGGGAGAAATTGACAGGTGAGAGGAATGAAATGTTAAAAATCATACCAACAGACATCATGGACTAACAGTCTCTTGCCAAGAGGGTAGCTTTAGAACCCACTGCAACTCTGACCACACAGTAAGTCCATCCCCATGAAAAGTAGCCCAATTGCTTAAATTCCAGAAAAGAAGAAAAGCAGTGAGTAGGAGGGACTTGAGGCCAGGGCCACGTGGGAATCTGAACTGGGAAGCAGACGCGTTCAGCTCCCCAAGTAGTTTTAGGTCAATTTGTATTGGAATGCCTATGTGCCTGAAAGGAACAAAGAAATAGTAATATTTCATACGGACAGTCTTCCCCCAAATTAATCTATTATGATTTGATGAAAGCAAAGTTAGCTCCATAAGGCCCATTACCAGCAAGAAGGAATCGCTTATCTCAAGGAATTTTGTTGATAGTCCCATCAGCATTACAGCCAGAAATACAAAAGACTGCTCCAGACCAAGAAGAGAGATATTTTTCCTACCTTCTGGGCTTTCACCAGCATCTGGAAAAACACAGAAAAGCCCCTCGCAGAGAGAAGGATCTTCTCCTTCCAACAGCTCTCTCGATCACAAGAGTTGTTCTCAAGATACCAGCGATGTTGTTTACTCACTTTCTTCACTATCACCTGAAATGAAATGTAGAGACCAGTTCCCTGAATCCTGGGAATGAAGCCAAAGTGGTTCTTCATCTCAAAAGAGAAATGGGAGTGGGGGGAAGGGCAGGTGGAGGGGAGAGAGAGAGAGATAGAGAGAGAGA